CCAAAGATAAATGTAAGCTGTGTAGTTATTTGGAGTATTAAATGTTCGGGCATACAAAAGGTTATAATTAACTGACCATGCCTTGTGAATTAGCCTTGTTATGCAGATCGATACGACCTATCTGAAAAAGTTGAATAAATAATTATTTAAAGCTTGGTAGGTGAAAGTTTCGAACTTCATTTTATTAGGCCTTTAAGGATACCTGTCCTGCTAGCTCCCATTTTAGAAGCGCAACAAGTTCACCACATGGCTGTTGTTTACTTTCTCCAACAAACCATCGAAAAAGGCGGACAACTCTGTCGGAATAAGAGACAAGTACGTCACAAGGGCCCTCTTAAAATAAAGATAGAGAATTGACGAACCTCCCTCAACAACTCTAACGGTTTTCGCATTATATGCTAGCTTTTGTTGATGTGTCATAAATAAGGGCATGTATTTTGAACTGGAGGTTTTCGCAGTTGCATCATGCGGAATCGAGTCGTCGCTCTTACAATATAATTAAAGGGGGTTACTTTGGTATTTATTGCACCGTCAAACATGTAGCAATGCGCGTCAGCACATAAGGCTATTATTGAAGCCTTATCTTTGAAGCAGATATTTCCGGCTGCGACACACATAACCTGAAATATCACTACTTGAAGCTAAGCTCATACCATGCCCAAATTGCACGCAACTTTCCAAATTTCGCCGTACTTCATGACATAAACAATTCCTTTGTTTTCTTTAATGTTGGCCTCGCCATTGCGCTGAATTTTGCCCGAATCCCAATGTCCAACAACTAGTTCATTGTCCTGCAAATAGTGTCCACAGAAGAGACTTACACCATCGTTATCCACATCATAGAGACAGAATCCAGAAGAAGTAAGAGTTGTCACATCCCGAAATCTGATGTGGTCAACGAAGGAAACGAACCGCATCAGGCTCAGCGAAAATTAGGATGATAGCATAAAAGATGCGGCTAGGCGAAAACGAAATGCAAACACAACGTAAACCATCAAAATAACAAATTTTTAAAAATTTGCTGTTATAAATCATATTTTTAGGAATATGAATACTGCCTATGTATCCACAATATGATGTGAAGAATTCCTAAATTGTATTTAACCGGATCAAAACTATATTTCGAGGAAAATTTGCTGATATACATAATGAGATTTCTTAGAAGAT